TTACAGCTGAGAAAACAAGATCAGAGAGGTAAAGTAAATTGCTCGTGAGTACACAGCTAATTAAAAATAGGTTAGAATTTGAAACCAGGTTCATCTGACTCTAACCCCCTAGCTCTTCCCACTACTTCAGAAGAGATGAATGGGCAGCTAATCCTGTCCTAATGTTATCTGGGGATAGAACTTACTTAGAAGAAAGAAAAGTGTGAGGCAGGACACATGGCCCAATGGAGCAGAAACGGTGTGCCACTACCCTGTCTGCCCAACAGCCCTCTCTGAGGGGAGGGCCCCAGAAAACAGGCTTATTTTGCAATCCTGTCTTCTACCCCCATTCCAACATGAATGGGAACTATAATGACTGGCTGTCACAAGCTTATGACCTCACAGTGACCAGCTGGAAAAAAACAAACACCATCCAAGGTTCCCTTGACTCAAGAAGAGTTACTTTAGTTCATATTACAATTTCTCCATGTGAGGCAAAACAGCTGTCATATAGAATAAACAGAGTAGTATAGAATAATGAAGAGGAATTGAGAATATGTGTTAATACAATTGTAAGTCTCATCATTTCATTTCAGGAACCCTGAAATTAATTAACCACAGATCTTAGTAGGTCAAACCACTCTTGGAGGGGGACCAAGAGATGAATCAGACCTACTTCCCCACCTAGTAGGTGGAACAGCTCCAAAATCAACTATAACTCTCTGGGATCGGAGCTATGATCACAGATCGTACAAAATACAATGAAAAACACCTGGGACTAAAAATGTGGCAGATACACACAATGGGATTCTTTTCTCCTAACAGGCTACGTGCACGCACACACACAGACACACATGCACAAAGAGATTATTTATTTAGCACCCCCTCCTTTTTAAAGTAGTCTCCACGCCCAGAGAGGAGCTTAACACGGAGCTTGAACTCATGACCCCAAGATCAAGACCCAAGCCAAGATCAAGAGTCAGACATTTAACTGACTGAGCCACCAAGGTGCCCCTATTTATAGCCCTTTTAAATTGAGCTATACAATGGAATATTATTCAGTCCGAAAAAAGAAGGAAATTCTGACACCTGCTACAACATGGGTGGACATTGAAGACATTATGCTGAGTGAGATAAGCAGGTCACAAGGGACACGTATTGTATGAGCCCATTTGCATGAGGTACCTAGACAGGTCAAATTTAAAGAGGCAGAAAACAGAATGGTTGTTTCCAGGGGTTGGGGGGCAAGGGATTGTGGAGTTATTATTTAAGGGGTACAAAGCTTCAATTTGCAAAATGAAGAGTTCTAGGGATGGATGTGGTGATGGTTGCAGAACACTGTAAACGTATTTAATGCCACTAAACCAGACATAAAAATGGTTAAGATGGTAAATTTTATATGTGGTTTACCACAATTAAAAAAAAAAATGACTAGGGTTGCTACATGGAAGTGAGCAGTGGTGGAGCTAGTAAAAGGCTACATTGGTCATACCCAGCACATTGTGAAAGGTTGCTAAGTTAGTATTGCTTGAATAAATGAAAGAGTGAGATGGCTAACAAATGCATGGAAGGCTGGAGTGTCTTGGCTCCCTCAAACTACCATCCCCAAACCACTGATCAGGTTCTGGATTCAAGGCCAGGGATGTTCTTGAAATTCAGGTTGCCGTGGCTCAGGGACCCAGGTGCTCCTAGGCAGACCATAGTGCACTTGACCAAAGACTAGGACAGAAATAGGAGTGTCCTGGAATTCTCAGGTTATAAAGAACTGTAAAGGCAGTACAGTGTATCCTTTTATCCCAAGTTGGAGTCCCTTCCCCCACATTCCTGCCGAGCCTAACCTAACCTGTGGGCATCGTGAGCCCCCGCAGAACAGCTGCACTAAATTTCTGCATCATTCGCTGTGGGAAAAAAAGAATTAATGAACTCCTGTTGACCCATTCAGCACTGTCACAAGCCATCCCAGTGTTCCTACAGCCTGCTTCCTGCCCCAGAAATGGGGGCCTGGGGAAACAGCAAACTGTAAGAGTGGGGATCAGCAAGGTCGTATTCTGTTGGGACAGGAGCTGGATAGAGCGGCTCCTATGAACGGGATACCCATTCTCAATGTCAATTATCTAGGAAAGAGGTGGATCTTTGTAGAGACACCACGATTCAGAAGACTGGCCTGAGTTAAAGGCCTATTTTTTTTTTTTAGTCAGAACACAGGCTCTAGGTCTAGACATCTGGAGGACAGTGACGGTCTAGATGTGGCTTCCAGGTGATACATGCCAAGATGGCACCTGCTACACAGAGGTAGGCTGAGAGCTGGATGGGGTAGGGTCTGAAAGCCTGGGAAAGCAGGTACCCTGCTATGTCAGATTAACTTCATTCAAGTACTCATGTCTATTTACCTTTAATAAAGTTCAATGTGATTGCTTGATCCTTGAGTTCCTGTGCTACTAAGAGGTATAGAGAGGTATGTGGATTCATCTTTGGGTCAGACTATTATAGAAAAAGCATCAGGTGTTGGAGGTAACTACTGAGACCTCACAGAAGGAAGGACAATATGAGGGGTCAAGAGCTGGTGTCTGAGGCACTCTTGAATAAGAAATTCTCCCAGCAGCTCTCTTGAGGATACTGAAATTTATCATTATTAGGGAATTATCATAATAAGGACTATCATTTGTAATCAATGGAACACCCAATAATCCTTCCCAAGAGCATGGAAAGAAGTCCAGCTCAAATCCCATTTTTGGGAAGCCAATGTAATGATTCCATCTTCTACAGGAGAAGCTAACTAGGGGATCGATTCTGAGCTCAGTTCCATTTAGACTGAAGAGGGTTCTGTATATTGGTTATTATTGACCCACCTAAGGGGATTAAGGCTACACTTAAATTGGCAGCTGATAATAACTTCGAGATAAAAGTGGCAACACCCTGGGAAAATCAGAGAATTGGCCCTTAAAAACAGAATGAGAAGAAAAAGAAATCACAAGAGGGTAAAGGACAGGATACTGGCAAGAGTTATTTTGAAGACTTCAGGAAAAGTTGTTGTTGAAAGTGAAGATAATAATTAGGAAGTCGAGTATCTGGAAATCTCTTCTGGGCAGTGAAGTGGTTAAAGGAAAAGCCGAAGTCTATACCTGTATATATATACGAAGTGTATATATATACAGATAAGAGACCATGAAATGTGCCTAAACACAAGACAGTTGTTCAAACAGTAATCTAATGACCCAGTACACTTTGTTTTCCTTTTAATCCATTACAGAAGAAATAAAAATAGTCCCATGACACCAGGAAACTAAGTCCTAGGTCTAAACTGTACTTGATGAAAGTCATCAAAGGCGATGGTTGAGGATTCTGTTTAACCTGGATTCCCCAAAGCCTACCAGTCCATAGCACAAATGAGACCGTGTAGCACTGATGTAAAAATGCGCCCAGCAAATATCCTACCACCTGCAATATTGCCTTGAACTCACCAACAGTTCCCAAGGGACCCCATACAAAGTCAGCACCAATCCTTTCCTGTGCTTTGAAATTGGTCTCCACTGGTACCTGCTGCCTAAAGACCAGGACTGCTATGTGGCTGCCCCAAGAGAACCTACTTCCCTGACATTCTTTTAAGGTTTCTCTGTGAACTACCAAACCTCAAGTTGTAAGAACTTCTGAAGGACTTTCAGAGCTCTTGCATCAGACAGAGACACACGAATTTCAGCACAGAACTGGAGAAATGACCGTTAAACTTGGAAATATTCCTTCTTGGGGTGCGGTCTTCTATGGGCTGACATTGAGATGAGGAGTACTTCTGTGTTGTTCACTTAATTTAAAAGAGCATGCATTACTTTTATAAGCAGCGAAACAACAAAAACACATTTCTATTTTGAAAAAAAGAAATAGGAATATTGACTTGGGTTTCTTAAGACTGGCTGTTACTTTACCCACATTTTGAGCCTGAAGAAACTCTTCCTGGTCTCCACCTTATAGCATTTTCTATCTCAGTGAAAGTATACCAGCCAAGGAGTGGCTCGAGTTACACACTGTCAGCTTTGATACGTACTTTCCTTCTATCTTCAGAACCAATCTATATTCAAGTCCTACCCAAGTCCTACCAAAATACTTCTCAAATAGCTCGCCTCTCTCCCTTCACACCATCTCTCCCCTAACCCAAGCTACTTTCATCTTGCCCAGACTACTACAACTGCCTCTTAGTCTTCACGGGTCACTCTAAGCTGTGGACCCCTAATCTGTTCTCAACCCAGGAGCCAGAATGATCCTTTTAAAGTGCAAATCTGAAGATGTCATTTTCTATCTTAGCCTCCCAGGATTTTTAGCATAAAAACCACAATCTTTCACTTGGCTTTCAAGGTTTTTTCTAGTCTAGCCTCTTACTTCTCCAGACATTTCCATCCTTACAACTGCACTAGCTTTAGTTCCTCCAAATGGTAGCCCTTTCTCTCACTACAGGACTCTTATCTACACATGCACTTTGCTCTATCTGCCACCCACATCACTTCCCACGTCATCTAGTTAATTCCGACATATCTCAACAGTCACCTCTTTAGGGAAGCCATCTCTGGGCCCCAGAGGAGGTCAAATGCCCTTACTGCATTTGTTCACAGCACTGTGGAGCTTTCCTTCATAGTTTTTATAAATGTTATAATTTTGTATTTATTTGTGTGTTTTGTTACTTTCATACCCATCCCTGTCACTAGGGCATAAACTCCATCTGTGCAAGAACCATGTACCCTCTGTAATTCCAGCACAAACCTAGTGCCCAGGCACATCAGAGGCATTAAATATCTATTGAATGTTAACTTCCTGAATGATAAAGTGGTTCTTTCCTAGAATGGCCCTAAAGTTAAAAATTCCAGGGTATATCTGGGATCTGGTTTTCCAAATTTTAAGGAAGAAATCTCCAGTCATACTACTGATATGTTGAAGGATTTTTTGATGGCTTATCTCTTCCATCAAACCAGTGATGCTACACTGACCTCTATGGAGGTGGCAGTGGACAGTATTAAAAGCCCAGGTGAACTTACCCCTATGGTAGACGCCATGTAGTCTGCACACATCTCTGCAAAATCTCGCTCAAGAACTCCATAGTAGAGGCCATAGAAGAGGAGAGAAATGCCAAAGTCCATGGCATCTTCTGGTTTGATCCTGTAAGGAAAGCAGCATGGCCTATAAGGCGTGACCTAAGACACAACTGGTTTGGATTACTACTCTGGGACACACAAAGAGGCACCTAAAGTTGGAAGACTTAACAGCTAAAGCAAGTGTTGGCAAAATAAGACCAAATCTTATGCCTGTTTTTTATATGGCCTCTTGGCACTGTTTGAACAGGCTAGCACTGTGAACTATAAAGACCAAGCCAAGGTATTGCCTACACCCCTCTTTCCCACTTTGTCCCCAATGCCTGCCTCCTCCAACTGCCCAACATGCCTTGCAGCTATCTAGGGCCCACTCTGGTTGGCACCTACGTGTTGGAGACTCCACTGCTGGCAATCACTGGACACCACCAACCAGTGGAATTTCATTCTGGAAGACAACAACTCAAGTTGCCTCACTTCCAGCCAGCTGCCCAGGTTGAAATGGCTGGGTAAAGGCACACCAAGATCTGGGTTGTCAATGGAACAGAAAGTAAAAATGATCCCAGTGGTCACACACCCACTTGTCAGGCCCCTCCTGAGAATGTCTCATCTGATGGCGAGTGGGCACAAAGTATGCCTCCCACCTGAGATAGCCCATCCATCAAACAAGGTGGTGCAAGGGAAGAGTTTCCCCTCTTGTTATACTATATATTATCCTAGACTTCACCTTTTGTCCACAAAGCCTAAAATAATATTTGGCTCTTCACAGAAAAAGTTTGCCAGCCACAGCTTTAGAAATAAAAGATAAAATCAGTCATTTAGCAAATATATACATACCAGTTACCGTAACATTTTAAGCTGTATCTATACATATTCTTTATCATGTCATCAAAGTTAAACTTTGGTCCAGGGGCACCTGGGTGGCTCAGCTGGTTAAGTGGCCAGCTCTTGATTTCGGCTCCAGTCATGATCTCAGGGTCCTGGGATGGAGCCCTGTATCAGGCTCCATGCTCAGCGCATAGCATGCTTAAGGAGTCTTCCTCTCTCTCCCTCTCCTTCTGCCTCTACCCCCACCCCCCTGCTTATGGTCTCTCAAATAAATAAATCGATTTTTAAAAATGGCCTGGGTGACTCAGTCGGTTAATCGTCTGCCTTTGGCTCAGGTCATGATCTCGCGGTCCTGGGATCAAGGCCCACATCGGGCTCCCTGATCAGCGGGGAGTCTGCTTCTCCCTCTCTCTCTGCCCCCCAACTCATGCTTACATTCTCTCTCAAATAAATAAATAAAATCTTTAAAAAAAACTGGGGGTCCAAGTCTACTTACTAAAAAGGACAAAGGTCTTGCCTGTACATTAGGAGGCTTGTTTTAATAATTCTAAGGACCAATAAATTGCAACCTTCTGTCTTTGAATGTTTATTATAGAAAACAACCTTTGTCAAAAATTTGTACCAGGAACTGTACGTGTTTCCTTAAAGTTGTAAGTTTCATTTATCTTAAAAAGTTGAGTGTATTCATCAATCTTGTAATATTTAACCCACTAGACATCATGATCTTATATCAATTAACCTGATTAGTAGCATAAAAATGGTCAATATTCTCAATTCTGTTTTCCTCCTTGTATAGCTTATGCAAGTAAAAATGAACTGTAATTACCGAATAATCATCTTTAATACAATGCAGAATCTTGAATTCACAACTCTGAGATCAAGAGTCGGACACTTAACCGACTAAACAACTCATGCACCCTACAATGCAGAATCTTGATTTTTATTTTTTTAAGCACACAGATTAGGAAGCTACCTGGAAATATCTTGGTTTTCTTTGATGGGACTTGTTAGACTCTATACTGATAAATTCCTATAAACATTTGTGGAGCCTGTTTATGGTTTCAGCCTGTACTACTCCTGGAAGAAAGAATTCCATGGGTATCCTCTCATTGTATAAAGTAAGGACTTACTCCTTTCAGTTTCAAAGAGACTCCTACCTCTGATAGGGTGATAGAGATATGGGTAACTGGCTATAATCATTATTATGCTTACTTCTGTGACACTTTTCCATTAAAATACAGGTTCTTGGAAAACATAACCAATGATTTGGGACTCTATATATCGAGACATTCCTTTCTCTTTGCCAGCATAAATCCTGGAGGGCCCACCTTCCCATTCCCCAAAGCCCAAGTCTCCTATCCTGGGTGCCATGGCCCCCTTGTTAATATTCACAACTTGGCTCCAGAAAGAAAGATACATCTTACCAGACCCTCCTCCCCAAACACAAACAAAAACAAAAGCAAAGAGTACTTACTTGAATAATAAATTGAGACCAAAGAGGGTAAACATGACAGCCATGTAGCCAACAATGCCAGTGGCATAGCTGATTTTATAGATCAACAGGAACCACTTATAAACCAACCTGGAGAAAGGAGAAAAAATTAGCATAGCTGACATGGAAACTTGCCTGGGGCCTCTGGATTACCACAATCTCTTATTCTTATATCAATGGGGACATTAGGTTATTTGCTTAGGACTTAGTCCTAAGTAAGCAACTAAGGACTAAGTCCTTAGTAAGCAACTTCAGCTACTATTACAGACCTAGTCACTCCATTAATTGCAGAAATACCCCTGCACACCAGGGAGGAGCTAGTGCTTTCTATTTTCCTGGTCTCAGATCGAGGGAAGAAAAGAGAGCCTTAAAAGTTTTTAGCTTCAAACAAACAAAAAAGCAGAGCTGACATTAGACAGCTATGCCCTCTCAAATTCAGATTAGCTGGATAAGGAAGTGAAAACTAGTTACTATATCTATGTTCAGATGGGAACAGGTGGGAAGGCCAGTTGTTCTTGTCAAGAAAGAGAATTCAAGGGAAGATGAAAAAGAGAATCAGCTATGGGCTCCCCCTCCCCTTTTAAAAAATACTTATTTATTTAAATAATCATTATACCCAATGTGGGGCTTCAACTCACCAACCCGAGATCAAGAGTTGCACGCTCTTCTGACTGAGCCAACCAGGCCACCCAAGCTTTTCCTACTGGGAATGGTTAACCTGAATACTTCTTTGCTCCTATCTACAGGACAATTATGAAATGGTATCTAATGAATTTGCTTCTGAAATTATTTTCTTTCTGGAGAAGAAGGGATAAGAAAGGAGGCACTCAGAGAATACCTTTGAATGGATGTGTGTGATGGTGGTGGGGGTGAGGTGGGGTGGGGTCATATAATGTTCTTGAAGGAAGAGCAATGCTCTCTATAAGTCAGTGAGTTGTGTGAAATCAAGAACCAATACTCTATCTGGGGTGACAGCAAATGAGGAATTCACCTGAATAAACACCTCAAGCCTATCTGGCTCTGAGACCAAGTTACTACCAAGCTTGATGGACCACAGAGAGGAAGCTTAGGTCCCTACCTAAGCAAGTGGTGAGAAGTTCTCAGGCAAGGGAAAGGCCCCAAACATTTTGCAATGCCTACTCTCAGAAACACAAAACTCCATTACCCAGGGTTTGCACTCATCAGACAGGAGTGAGGCAGTGGAAAGGATGTAGAATTTTAGGCAGAATCTGGATTAAGTGAGTTTTATTAGCTGGGTAATCCCAGGTAAAATCAAATCACTAAGACAAGTTTACTTACTTGTAAAATGAGGAAACCATGATACCTTCCTCAATGGACTGTACAGAGCCCATTTCCTGGTATATATAATACATGCTCAATAAATGCTACATGAATAAGAGTGGATGTTTATGAAAGTGCTTTGAAATTATAAAGCACTACAAATGTTAGTTATTATCATCAAAAACCTCCCATGTCATAGACACAATTTCAGTCATTTTACCTATAAGCTAATATTGGTTGTTAACTCTTTTTTTTTTCTTTTTAAAGATTTTATGTATTTGTTTGAGAGAGACACAGTGAGAGAGGGAACACAAGCAGGGGGAGTGGGAGGGGGAGAAGCAGGCCTCCCATGGAGCAGGGAGCCCGATGTGGGGCTAGATTGCAGGACCCCGGGATCATTACTCGAGCCAAACACAGATGCTTAACAACTGAGCCACCTAGGCGCCCGGGTTGTTACTGACTCTTAAAGTATATTTTTACACTTTTTCTTCATAGTACCCTTTATGAGGGAGCAATTATTATCACATTTCTAGGGGTAAAAAGTTCAAGGCTCAGAAAAGTGAAGCCATACAGATCAGGTAATTAACTGGCAGGGTTAGAGTTTCCAATAATCCACAAGTATCTGGCTCCAGAGGCTCTATCTTCTATCATGGCCCTTAATGTAAACTACTTCTAAATCATGGAGGAACTTCTAAATCACTGACTTCACCTTGAAGATAAATTTTACCATGTACAAGGAAACTCAGAAGGCCAAAGTAAAACCTTACAGTGAAGCAGAAATAAAATGCATGGGAAAAAGAGCAACTTGCAACTTGGAAGCCTTCGGTTCTGGTAGTTACAACTTTGAGGCTGGTTACTTCCTCTGCTAGGCTCTCCTGGACCTGTTCACATGTCTCTCACAGCACTTACCAACTGCACTGAAACAGATGCTTTCTTGTCCATCTCCTCCATTAAACCGAGCATTCCTTGAGGGCAGGGACCATGTCTTATCCAGCTCTGTATCCCCAGCGCTCAGCACAGGGCCTGACACATAGCAGGTGCTTGTTGAATGAATGAATGAATGAGAAAATCTCTTTCTTTCTGTCAAGTACAGATCTTAAATGACCTCACAAGCTGGTTGGGAGGATCAAACTAGAAATGCATTTGGATAAAATACAAATAATACAGGCAGGGGCTGTTCTATGACCAAAGAAGTATTGTTTGTTGAAAAACTGCAAATTTGATGAGATTCATTCATTCAACAAAAATTCAAAGAGTAGGCTACTATGTGCCAGACCCTGTGGTAGGGCCTGGATATACAGGGACAAAGAAAATACATGTGGTTCCTGATCTCACAGTTACAGTTTAGTGGGGGAGACAGACAGTCAAAATTTTATGTTATGTTCTATGATGGAAAACTATAGGGCCTATGAAAGACTCTAACAGAAAATCTTATTTAGAGATCAGAGAAGGGTTCACAAAAGAAAATAACACGTAAAATGAGACCACAATGATCCTCAGAATTTGCTTACTTATTTTGGTTGCTTTTAACATAAATAGACCTTGATATAAACTCTAAGGTAAGCTATAGAGAAATGTTTTGGGGTTTTTAATCTGTGAAGGGGGGGTAGTTCTCCCAATCAGCTTGTTTTGGTGGGGGTCCATGCTAAATAATCTTAGCAAACAGAAATTATAACTTTTTTCAGCCTAAACCCACCCCAAACCCATGCACTCCAACCCATTCGCTTCAGGAAACCAAGGTCTTCCCCACTACCTAAACTCTCACCTTGGGGTTGTCTGTACTAGTGGTTTCCGGGTGGCTCGGAAGGTGACAAAAGCTGTGACAGCAGAGAACAAGATCCAGATCACTAGGAACCTCCACCAGTGCAGCTTCACTGTGAAATAGAGGGGAACAACCCACATCTGAAAGAGGGTCACCATCTGAAACACAAACACAAGCACTTCAGCGCTAGCCAGCTCCCTCTGTGCTCCGTCCGCAAGTCCACAGGTTATGTCGTGTGTTCCATTTTTTAGCCTGATCCTCTCCCAGATTTCCAATGTTGGACAGAGGCACCACCTCGTGATCTAACTTAGAAACCTAGGACCATGCCCGACAACTCCCTTTCATCCCTCACCTATTTGTTGTATATATTCTTTCCTTTCCATGTGAGCCCTTGCTATCCCTTGCCTGGCTCACTACAATAACCTTTGTTAAATCTCCCTACAGTCATCATTCCCCTCTCCAATCTATCCTTCCCAAGAGCACTGGGATGGCCTCTCTAACATACAGTCTTGAATGTGTCATTCCCCTGCTTATAACCTTCTAATAGTCCCCTGCATACAGGATAACACCCAACACCCTTCAACAGGCAGTCAAATGCCCCACAATGTGCCCCAAACTATTATTTCAAGGTTGACCTTCTACTACTCCCCATGCCATTAGTTAGGTCGTTCCCCTCAGGCTAAAACATCCTTTCCACCTGCCTTTCTGCCTGATAATATCACATCCAAGACACATGAAACCTTCGGTCTTCTTTCCAGGCAGAAAGAGTCATAACTTTCCAATGATCCAAAAGCAATTTCTTTTCTACCATCGTTGCTTATCTAGAGCATGATTCAAATTCATTCTCTGAATGTAAGCTCCTTGAGAGCAGTGACCAAGCCATATTCATCTGTTTCCTATGTGCTAGGAAACGGTTTAGCACACGACAGATCTTCGATAAACTTGAGAAGAAAGCAGAACTAGAACCCAAAAGGGAGGCGTGTTTCTGCTGTAAAGAGGTCTCAGAACTCAGACTTGTCAGCTGAAGAGTTCCAAATATATAAAATGATTCTAAGTCAGAAGTTTGGACTGATCACCAGTCCTCTCCTCTCTGATGCCTCGTAACTCCCTCCACCAACCACCTTGCTTTCACTAGATGTCACTGTGCTCAGGTGAGTAGCAGGTATTAAAAAAAAATAAGTAATACCTAATGGGAGACTTTCTTCCTGATGTCATCAAAGGAAATGAAAGAACATTTAAAAAGGGCTGGGCATGGGAATGAGCTATAGAGAGGAAAATGGTAGCTAGTTTCCTAAAGTTCCATAGTGAAGAAAACTTGAGAAAGTATTTACTTGGGGATTTCTAGACCAGTGCTACCTAATCAAAATATAATGGGATTCACATACGTAATTTTAAGTTTTCTAGTAGCGACATTTAAAAAAGTAAAAAGAAACGCTGGTATTAATTTTTTTAAGGATTTTATTTATTTATTTGAGAGAGAGCAAGCAAACGGGGAGGAGCAGAGGGAGAGGGAGAAGCAGACTCCATGCTGAGCACAGAGCCCGATGTGGGGCTCAGGCTCATGACCCCGAGATCATGACCTGAGCCAAAATCAAGAATCAGATGCTCAACTGACTGAGCCACCCAGGTGCCCCCAGATGATATTAATTTAATTAATATATTTTATTTTATCCAATATATCCAAAATATTATCATTCCAACATTTACTTAATATTAAAATTTATGAAATATTTTACTTTTTTGTACTGAGGCTTTGAAATCTGATGCGTACCTTATATTTATGGCATACCTCAAGAGAGACCAGTCACATTTCAAGTGCTCAACTGCCATATGGTAATGGTGGTTCCCATACTGGATTAGTGCAGCTTAGAGCATCTTTTTAGCATTTAGTTCTCTCCTGTAGCTTCTAACAGACTGCTCTGTGGCAAGAAAAGGCCTTAGTGTTTTAGTGTTATTTTACTAAATAACAAATAATTTACTAAATAATAAATAACACTGAGAGGAGAATGGTGAACAGATCCCACTTTGCTTTAAAGCTTACAGATTTGTGTGCTCAATGGTGCTGGCTAATGGTCAGTGAACGTCTCAGTACCTGTTCTACTGCTCAGGAACCCCCCAGGTGACTCTCCGGATGAAATATCCTAAAATATCCCAATATGAAAAGTGCGGGAGCACTGGGATGTACTAACAAATGGCTAACCAAATAACACTCCAGGTAACATTACTGGAGATAATGGGAGGAGACCAGGAAAGGACATCATAACAAACCACACATTATTTAAGCAAGAGGGTAAGGGCTCAGTTGGTAAAGTGTCCAACTCTTGATTTCGGCTCAGGTCCTGATCTTGGGGCTGTGTGATCAAGGCCCATGTTGGGCTCTGTGCTCAGCAGGGGAGTCTGCCTGGGATTCTCTCTCTCTCTCTCTCCCTCCCCCATGTACTCTCTCGATAAATAAAATTTTTAAAAATCTTTTAAAAAATACTTTAAATTAGGGAATAAGAGACAACCAGAATCATGATATTCAGAGGCAGTAAATAAATGGTGGTAAGATGTGGAAAGAAGAGCTGCAGGGTCTTTAGCCTTCACATGGTTAGCTTACAAAACAGCAGGCCCAGAGACTATAGAAGAACTAAATTACAGAGTCTGATTATATTTGTCTTCTCTGAGGGAACAAAAAAAAAAAAAGGAATTTCTGGTCTCCTTCTAGCTTTTCCAAAAACTTGGCTGTTGCCAAAAAACAAAAACAAACAAACAAACAAAAAAACACCCCAAAATAAAACAATAACAACAACAAAAACCCCAGCCTATCCCCTACTAGCTTTTTCCCCACTCCAATCAATAGCATGTTCTAAGAAGGAATCTAGTAAAATAATTTATCTCTGCACGAGCTGTAGCTCTGCTTACTTTGGGTGCAGCAAGAGGCAAAAGACCTGGATTCTATTCTGGGTTGAATAAAGGCATAATCAGGAGTAGGCATCAGTGTAAAAGGAATGAAAAAATCTTCCCTTGCTTTGTAACTCTCAGGCCTAAAACTTTAAGGCTATAAAGCTACTCAACTCACATCATGAAAGAAAGAGAAAGACAAAAAAGGAAAGAAAAGGAAGAAGGAAGGAAGGGAAAGAGGGAGGAATTTAGGGACAGGGTTACATTCTTTCAAACCAGATAGCCAATTAGAAGCCCAAAAGACCTAGATTCTAGTTCTGTGTGCTTCCAACTCACTGGGCCATGCTAAAGAGGTCCTTCCTCCTTGAGGGAAAGGTTTGACTTGATTTTTCAAGCCCCTTCAAGTTCTAACATGCTAAGGTTCTATTAAGCAGCCTTGTAACTGGGAGGGCGAAGGCAGTGCTCATTCACTTGTACACTGAATATTTATTTTGCATTTAATGGAAAGAATGCAGAAATAAACATGACCCCTAGTCCCTGTCCTCAAGGAGCTAACAGTCCAGGGGTGCCTGGGTGGCTCAGTCATTAAGCATCTGCCTTCAATTCAGGTCACGATCTCAGGGTCCTGGGATCAGAGCAGGAAGCCTGCTTCTCCCTCTCCCACTTCCCCTGCTTGTATTCCCTCTCTCACTCTCTCTCTGTCAAATAAATAAATAAAATCTTAAAAAAAAAAAAAAAAAAAAAGGAGCTAACAGTCCAGCAGCAGGAGAAAAATAGAAATCAAACCTAAACCTTTAATTTTTTTTAATCAAGATTTTATTTATTTATTTGACAGAGAGAGAGAGAGAGATCACAGGTAGGCAGAGAAGCAGGCAGAAAGAGGTAGGGGTCGGGAAGCAGGCTCCCTGCTGAGCAGAGAGCCCCATGTGGGGCTTGATCCCAGGACCCTGAGACCATGACCTGAACCGAAGGCAGAGGCTTAATCCACTGAGCCACCCAGGTTCCCCCCAAACCTTTAATTTAATGATTCTATTAATCTTTAGATTTTAAAATTTAAAAAAAATTTTTTTTTGTTTTTTGTGTTTGTTTGTTTTAGGTAGGCTCCAGGCCCAGCACAGAGCCTAGTATGGGGCTTGACTTCATGATGCTAACTAAGATCAAGACCTGAGATGAGATCAAGAGTGGATGCTTAACCAACTGAGCCACCCAGGCACCCCTAAAGATTTTATTTTTAAGTAATTTCTACACCCAATGTGGGGCTCAAACCCACAAACCAATGGAGCCAGCCAGGCACCCCTCTTTAGATGTTTTTTTTAGAAGTTTAAATAGAAATCATTAAAGAATGAATAAACCAAGTAGAATGATATGGTAAAATGACTGGACATTTTAGAATTAATGAGATCTAGGTATGAATCCCAATATAACTATTTACTGTATTAGCTTAGGGAAGTCATTTAACCATGATAAGCCTGAATTTTCCCAACTGTAAAAGAGGATTAACAGTATCTACTCTCAAAAGATTGTATAGATTAAGTGAATTAATGCATGGAAAGCTCTCAGAACAATGCCTAACAATGTAAGCATTTAATATAATGTAATAAATATAATGCAAATAGTCAATATAATAGCTCTTTTATATAAAAAAAAAAAGCAGAGTGCATAATTCACAGTAAGCATTCAGTAAATGAGAGCTCTTATTAGGTCCTCACATGATCAAAACTGCATAAAGTCAAATGTAATAAGGGAGCAAAGACTGCAAAAAGGCAAACAAAATAATCAACATATTGAAAGTGGCGGGGTTATAATGAGATAGAGATAAAGAAAAATACAAAAGATCAATGAAACCAAAAGCTGATTGCTTAAAAAGATTAAAAAAACAATAAACCTTTAGCCAGATACATGAGAAAAAGAAGACACAAAATTAGAAACAAAAAAAGAAGTTAACAATCAATACCACAGAAATACAAAGAACTATAAGAAATTACTACAAAAAATTATATACCAAAAAATTGGACAACCTAGAACAATTAGATAAATTCCTAGAAACATATAATCTTTCAAAACTAAATCTGGCAGAAACAGAAAATCTAAGCAGATTACTAGTAATGAAATTTAATCAGTAATCAAAAACCTCCCAACAAACAAAAGTCCAGGACCAGATGGCTTCACAGGGGAGTCCTACCACCTACTATTTTTTTTTTTTTAAAGATTATTTATTATTTATTTGACAGACACCACAAGTAGGCAGAGAGGCAGGCAGAGAAAGAGAGAGGAA